GCTGTCTGTCTGTTTGCCCCCGCCTTCCCAACCCGCCCCCACCGTCCCAGCATCTCTCGGATGTGTGCAATGTGTGCCGAGGACATATAGTGAATGCCAGGTGTCCCGGCGTGACAGCGGGACATCCGGTCACAAACTTGGGCCCTCCCCGCCACATCGCCGCCTTATCGCCATGCCTCAGCAGAGCCTAATGAGTGGGAAATCACGTTTCGAACGGTCCACCCGGAGTGCATTTGGCCCGTTTCGAACGGTGGACCCGGGCTCGGCCGGAGCACTCCGGGTCTACCGTTTGGAGCGGCCGCCGCCAGCAATGAACCGGCCGGAGGAAGGGTGGTGGTTTGGAATGGTCCGGCCGGAGTGTTGGGTAACGTTCCGGCCGGAGCTCTGGTGAACGTACCGGCCGGAGGCCTCGAGAAATATGGGTTTCCTACGGTCCGGCCAGACTGTTATCCAACGTTCCGGCCGGACCCCTGGTCAACGGTCCGGCCGGAGGTCTCGAAAAATTTACGTTTCCTACGGTCCGGCCGGACATATACCCAATGTTCCGGCCAGACCTTTGATCAGTGTCCCGGCCTGAGGCCTCAAAAATTTGGGCTCTCAACGGTCCGGCCGGAGCACTCAGCAATGATTCAGCCTGGCCAGGGGTTGGTTTCGGACGTCTGGCCGGCCCCCAGGTGAAACGGTCCGGCCGGGCAAAATCCCAACTTCCAATGTGAACAGGCCGGCCGGAAGCCTTGCAAAATCTGGGCTGTAAATGGTCTGGCCGGGCTAGTTTCTAACCATCCAGCCAGACCCCAGATGAACCGACCGGCCAGGCTTCTCCCAGCCAGACCCCTAATACACTAGTAATATAACAACAAGAATTGTTAGTTGTAACAACCAAGCTCAATATTTAACCACCAAGCCCAGAGATGAGCCACCAAGCTTGGTATCAAACCACCGAGCTCAATAGTGAGCCACTGAGCACAGTATTGAACCACCGAGGTTAAACAGCTAGGCTCGGTGGCCGAGAAAAATTGGCCGGGCTCGGCGCCGAGGATAAATGGCCGAGGCTCGGGCCGAGGTTTTGAGCGCCGAGCTCGGTGAAAACCGCCGAGGTCAGTATCAAAGCATTGAGCTCAGTGTTAAGGGGCCCAGTTAAAGGGCCGAGCTGAGTGTTCAATGACCGAGTTTGTTGTTGAAGCACTGAGCTCGGAAATGGCCGAGGTTAAACCACCGAGCTCGGTGAAAAACGGCCGGGCTGTCAGATTGCCATATAAGGAAATTTGGTATCATCTGGTAGCCCTTCATTCACAGAGTACAGTATATGTTCCCTAGTGTACAGAGATGCCTAGTTAGGTCAGAGAATACAAAATAAAAAATGCTCACAGGCTTCTCTGAGAACGTACTATTCAACTCCTGAGGCCAGTTTTCTTTTCCCACAATGTTTGACTATCTAGAATGTGCTATTTCAATGCACAGCCTACATCCCCAACAGGAAGAGTCTTATTCTTTGAAGCTGAATGCAGGACAGGAGATAAGGGGTATACATGTTGGATAATGATGTTCACTCCCTGCAGCCAATATTCTTTCCAAATAGTGTTTGACTATCTAGAATGATTCATTTCCTCACAATGAGTGAGTCCTCCAAAGGAATAGTCTTATTCACACAAGCTGAATGCAGTACAGAGTTAAGGGAATCTGGTCTCATATGAGTATCACTCAATTTGAACAATGCTGATCATCACTTCTGTATCCATGCATGATATAGCTGAAGAGTTTATACATTGGACAGATGTGTGGCATTTTGCTCTGGCTGGCCTAGGACAGTGCACCGGCCGCCGGACCGTTTGCTACGAGCAATGGCCGGCCGGACCATTGGCAATGAGCATTGTCCGGCCGGACCATTACCAATGGAGAGATGTTTCTGTGGCCAGTGCGCATGGGTGCACATCACAGTTTGATACAGACAATCATTCGAAGCAGGCCCCATCATGACACAATAATGCATGTTCCCCTTAGCTCCATGCTCAGTTCAGCTAGGAAGAATAAGACTATTCCTCTTGAGGACTTTGCTGTTCATGTTGGATTAAGCCATTCTAGTTTGTCAAACATTGTGGGCAAAGCATATTGGCTTTACAAAGTAAACATAGTTCACATGTATCCCACTCCACCCTTGACACCTTAACTCTGTACATTCAGCTTGTGTGAATAAGACTGTTCCTTTGGAGCACTTACTCCATGTGAGTAAATGAACCACTCTAGATGGTGAAACCCTATTTGGAAAGAATATTGGCTGCAGGAACCAACATTCAAGTCAGACATGCATATCCCATACCTATATGCCCCTTATCTCTTGTCCTGCATTCAGCTTCAAAGAATAAGACTCTTCCTGTTGGGGATGTAGGCTGTGCATTGAAATAGCACATTCTAGATAGTCAAACATTGTGGGAAAAGAAAACTGGCCTCAGGAGTTGAATAGTACGTTCTCAGAGAAGCCTGTGAGCATTTTTTATTTTGTATTCTCTGACCTAACTAGGCATCTCTGTACACTAGGGAACATATACTGTACTCTGTGAATGAAGGGCTACCAGATGATACCAAATTTCCTTATATGGCAATCTGACGGCCCGGCCGTTTTTCACCGAGCTCGGTGGTTTAACCTCGGCCATTTCCGAGCTCAGTGCTTCAACAACAAACTCGGTCATTGAACACTCAGCTCGGCCCTTTAACTGGGCCCCTTAACACTGAGCTCAATGCTTTGATACTGACCTCGGCGGTTTTCACCGAGCTCGGCGCTCAAAACCTCGGCCCGAGCCTCGGCCATTTATCCTCGGCGCCGAGCCCGGCCAATTTTTCTCGGCCACCGAGCCTAGCTGTTTAACCTCGGTGGTTCAATACTGTGCTCAGTGGCTCACTACTGAGCTCGGTGGTTTGATACCGAGCTTGGTGGCTCATCTCTGGGCTCGGTGGTTCAACTCTGAGCTCAGTGGGTGGTTAAATATTGAGCTTGGTTGATACAACCTTGGTCATTTTCCAGCTGAGCTTGGGGGTTAACAATTCTTGTTGTTATATCACCGGCAGATCAATTCTGAGGGGTCTGGCTGGTTTTGGAGAAGCCCGGCCGGTCTGTTCATCTGGGGTCCGGCTGGCTGGATGATTACAAACTAGCCCGGCCGGATTGTTTACAGCCCAGATTCCGCAAGGCTTCCAGCCGGATGTTTGGAAGGTGGAATTTTGCCCGGCCGGACTGTTTCATCTGGGGTCTGGCCGGAAGGTTAGAAACCAACCCCCGGTCCCGGCCGGAACATTGAGAATCCAAATCTTTGGAGGCCTCCAGCCGGATCATTGCTGAGTGCGCCGGCCGGACCATTGCTGAGTGCTCCGGCCAGACCATTGCTGAGTGCTCCGGCTGGACCGTTGAGAGCCCAAATTTTCGAGGCCTCCGGCTGGGACACTGATCAAAGGTCCGGCCGAAACGTTGGGTATGTGTCCAGCCGGACCGTAGGAAGCCTAAATCTTTTGAGGCCTCTGGCCGGACCGTTGACCAGAGCTCCGGCCGGGACGTTGGATAACAGTCCGGCCGGACCGTAGGAAACCCATATTTCTCAAGGCCTCCGGCCGGTACGTTCACCAGAGCTCCGGCCGGAACGTTACCCAACACTCCGGCCGGACCATTCCAAACCACCACCCTCCCTCCGGCCGGTTCGTTGCTGGCGGCGGCCGCTCCAAACGGTAGACCCGGAGTGCTCCGGCCGAGCCCGGGTACACCGTTAGAAACGGGCCAAATGCACTCCGGGTGGACCGTTCGAAACGGTCAAGTTCCACTCAGTAATGTGCTCAGCACTCCTACCTCACCCTCCCCTGCGCTCCACAGCTCTCGGACGTGCCAAACGCATGCCAAACACGCAGCACGTACCCATGACGACCCTGCTCTTCTGCAGGGTCATCTATTCGTGTGCTGCCGCCTTCCCAGTCCTCCCCCGCCATCCTACCATCTCTCAGATGCGTGCGATGCGTGCCGAGAATCAACCGTGCATGTCAAGCAACCCTGCACAACAACGGGTCATCTGGTCGCAAGCTTGGGCCCTCCACGCCACACCACAGCCTTCTCGCCCTGCCACAGCCCTCCTATGTTGCTGCGCCATCCTCTACCATATGGCTGGCAAACATGTGGACGACTCACGAGCAACTTGAAGCAGATGGCGGGAAAGCGGGCGGCGAGCGAGCGGGTGAGTGAGTGGACAAGCACGTCTGACGATTGGAAGGTGGGCATGAAACAATGATGGGTGGCTGCGATGGTGTGCGGACCCGTCCACTTACCCGTGGACCCGCCTGCACCCGTGCAAAACCTGTACCCGCTGTCACGGGTCCATACCCAGGGCGGGTACGGGTGCAGGTACACCTCGGGACACCCGCGGGTGTACCCGTGCTCTGCACTACGAGTAACTGCACCCGCACCCGCACCAATTTGATGCAGTTGCTCCGGATTCTGGAGGTGGATAGATTGTGCATGGCAGTGTCATTTCTTCGTGCAATGTGTGACAAACTGGCAAAAATCATCACTTCATACTGGCAGAGGCTCATTGGTGCTACCTTATATTACGCAAACTCACTGATGTATGAGGGGCTGCAGCTCTAGACTGAGCTGCAACACGTCGGCATACACATCTGGACTTCATGGCTCCACCACGCTGGTCGACCGCTGAGGAAGCTGCCTTCTTGCTTCCGAAGGTGGACGTGTTCTGATCACATCAACTATCGCAAAAACTGCAACGGTTCTGGCCCACAGTGTACTGCAAATGGTTCACCGCATTCCCGGAGAAGCCCAGGGTTCTTCCAAACATTGAGGGTGAGCTGTCAAAGGAACAGAATCAGCAGCTGCAATCGGCAATTCAGACCCGTCAGAAGGTACGTACACCTATTTGACAATCATCGACAGTCCACTGACCTACGTACAAAAGCAAATCTATAACTGGTTCAATAACCTTAATAGTCAGCAAAATTGAAAAGCCAAGTCTATGTGGGTGCCCGTGAACCTTTTCAAGATGAAATCACATTGTCATCTGAAGGAGATCGAGGTGTATTCCCGTAAGTATTATGATGAGCAGGTTAAACCACTTGTGCAGAAACAGTTGCATGGGCGCACCGTTACGAAGGCCAAGAGGCTCTTGATTATCAAGGACACCACAGAGGATAAGTACAAAACAGAAGACGAGAACATTAAGGAGGAGATCAGGGTGCATGTGCTTGCGCTTCGGACATTGGGAGCAAACAGTGACGAGGAAGATGAAGCTAAGGAGGGTGCGGATGAGGACATGATTGACCTGGTCGTGTGCCAAGTGTACGTACGGCAAAGCTGAATGCTGCATATTTTGAACTGAATTACAGTCCCTGAGGTACGAAGGAATCATTCTTATGAATGGAGGAAATACTGGTTGTTAAAAGATGAGCCAAGACTCACTAAATAAGTGGCTTGTATCAGGCTATGCATGGGAAACTCTGCACTATCATAAGTTTTTTTGCGACATGTGAGCCTCAAGAGTGAGCACAATATGAATGTATAGTACTCTCTGATCTTTCTCTGATTTTCCTGCTATTAATCCAGTACTGCAGAGGCCACCCATAGCCAACTTCCTGAATGGGCAGGAGACTCACCATATATGGCAGTTTTCTATGTCTGCTTCAAAGACTCCCCTGATACCTGTGGAGCTCTCCAGTAAGTACATATGCCTCAATATCACTTGTCATGGCCAGTATTCTCAAAGATACCTAATCTGGACACACCTATGAGCATCCAAGGAGCATCCCATGGAGAAGGAATATTTTGGGATTTTACGGCATTTAATGGGGCTCTAGTTCTTAAAGAGCTCAGTTAGTGCTGCAAAAAACTCGGCATGAAGAGCTGAGATTGAAACATTACTTTAAAAGGGAATATTTGTCAGCATCCCAGCCAATGGGAGTGCTGCAAAATCTTCATTCATCCACCACTCCTTCTACAGTCAACAATCAAATTGTATAATGTTTCTGTACATCTGTATATTATCTGTACATGATTTGAGGCCAATACATGGAGATCTGAGTGCAGGAAAAATCATCCTGTGTGATCATGCCCATTTTGGGTAAGCAGTGGCTTGGACCCTTGTCCACGACAGGGTACATTGCTTGGATTCTGATTCATCATGGCCTAGGAACAATAACACACATATATGAGAATAGATTACAGGCCATAAAGATGGGTCCCTGCAATGTAGTGAGCTAAATGTCAGTGTGGCTGACCCTACCCTCAATGAGAAGATTGAGTACTGAGCTCCACTGAAGGACTGTATATTTTACTGATATTTATATTGTACTCTTGAGGTGGTTTAACATAGCTATGTACAAGACTTTAGACCATTGAGGCCCACACAGAGTGAGGAGAGCTTGTTGAGTGCTAAGGTGGCTGAGATTGCACACATTCACCCCTGGGTCCATAGTGTTATTTTGCTGCTTTCCACATACCATCCAAGAAACTAGCATGAGTAGCTGACACTGACTGAAACAGAGAAACTTTGTAGCCAATGGAATTGCTCCAAAGTTACTGATTGGTGACTGGAGGCATAGACAAACATAGTCTCATGTTTGCCTTCAAGTTGAATGTCAGAAGGGCCTCTTGATTGTTCCTTTGTAAGTCTGCATAATTGCCAGAGCAACAATGGCTTCTTCTGAGCCCAATCAGTAGAGAAATAACAGTATACATTGAACAAACAGACAGCTTCATCAATACATGGTACAATTAGTCCTTGCCCATATGAACAAGCCAAGAGCTGCCTACTATATCTCCACATCCCAAGGACCATTGCATGACAACAGGACCTGGTATTACTGTTGGCTGCAGTGCGCCTCAGAGCGGATTCCAAAGGCCTAAGTCGAGCTCTGTAAAGTCTTAGGGACATAGAGCTCGATGAGGCGGACTGTCTACGGTGTGCGTTACGTAAGGCAATCATAACTGTACAGCAGAAACAGCCACAAAGTCGAAATCAACGAAGCAGTGAAAAATCAGATGAGTGCAGGGGTTCAAATCCCTGAAGTTGCACACATTATGGAAAATGGTAGACAGAAGGGAATTACATCGGAAAAAAAATACAGTAGGCACGGTATAGTGGTGGCGTCCATGTAGAATAAAGGAGAACACACCAGGATGTGATACCTTTTGTTGAAGAAGTAGCGAGCACCCTGGGATCCGTCACAATTTGCGCACTAGGGGGCATGAGTTCTGGTATCTTATTGTGAGTTACAGTCTTCATCTTGACCTCATACAAGCTGCTGCTTGTCATCTGCCCTCGAAGGATGGGTTGTCCTCCTTTGCTAATCACATCCATCTGACCATCTTGTACCTGGATACCGCATCTGCTCCTGTTGGTCTGCAAAAGCAAGATGAGGTTGGCAGCAAGGTTGGGGGCATGAAGGACATTCCAAAGGGTGATGACAGACATGCAACCATTGATTACAACTTGTACATGGACTGATCTGACTCTGACAATGCGGAAAGTCATACCATGTTTTGTGCTGTTGCCATCTTGTGGGATCATTGGGCGGTAGTCATCATAGCAGCTCTGTTGACAAAATAATGGTAACTAGCTCCCAAATTGAGGTAGGCTTTAATACTCGACCTGTTCTTCTCACTTGACAGATCAGAATCAGCACTGGCCAGGAATATGTTGTAATTGTAACAACCTGCAGTCGATGGTGCGGAGGTGACATTCACATTGGGTTTGGCATCCAACATTGCAACCTGAGCCTGAGGGGCAGCGGGATCCGCTGGAGACCCCTTCTTAGGTCTTGGTTGGGACTTCCAGTGCAACGGTTGCTGAAGCATTGGTCTTTAGTGTGGTTCTTCCACCAGCACCAGTTGCAGTTGACAGCTGCCTTTGTGGCTGTCATGAAGGCTGAGGTTGTTGTGCCGGACTATCCGTTCCCCCTCAGCAGGAACTGCACCTGTGCTAAACTTCAGGGCAGCACACAAAGACTCAGTGTCACAAACCAACACCCCTTTGGGGCCAGCCTTCAGGTTCACCATCACAAAGTCCTCCAAATACTGGGCATGAAGTTGTGCCCGGGAGCGTCCCTGTAGAACCAAATCAGCATGAAGATGTATGAGATAGGCTCCACCTGTATGTGATTGTTGTAGGTGATGAGAAAATGAAAGATACACCAAGTTGCCATGTCCTTTGCTGTGAGCTTTGGCTGCCCCGTGCCCATATGGGCAGAGACCTGCATGTACAAGCCACCTCTTTTCATGGCCTCTGCTGAAGGCAAGTTAGCCTTGTCAAGGGTGCACCACCACTTGACCATGTTCTCCAACAATTTGAGAATCATCCACCCCGCATTGGTGGGCTTGGTTGTGGTCTTGGAAACATACTCATTCACAGCCACAATGGCTTCATGAGTGACGTGAGGATGCATGTGTGCTAAGGCACCTGCTGGCCAGGAGCTGGGATTTGCTCAGGACCCTGGGGGACAGGCTGACCACACTCCCCAACAGGCTGGCAATGGACGGGCACAGACTGGCCCCATTCAGGGACCTGCTCAAGATGAGTGGGCACGGGCTGGTGATGCCTCCAGGATAGGCTGGCGACACTCCAGGACAGGCTCACTATAAGTGGGGACAGGCTTGCCATGCTCTGGGATGGGCTCACCAGGCACCTGCTGATAAGGTAATTGAGAAACAGTCTGAGGCAGAGGGCTACTAGTAGGGAGACTTACAATGACTGTAACGGAAACCTCCCACTGAGAGGAGCTCCCATGAACAGGGAGGACAATGTGAGCTGTGACCCATTTGGCCAAAGCAAGGAGGGGGTGTTCGGCCAGTCTGTTGGGAAAGTTTGGAATCCAACCAAGGCACTGGCCTGGAAGGCTGAGCTGTCTGGGTGCTCTTTGACCTTGAACCCCAACTCAAGCATTGTTTGGGTTCAGCTCAGGGAAATGGGCCCCTGAGATGGCCAATAGCTCCTACTAGAGCCCCATTAAATGCAGAGAAATATTCAAATACATACCCATGTATTGCTTCTCCATGGCATGCTCCTCGTATACTGATGGGAGTGCCCAGAATAGGTATCATACTGGCCATGAGAAGTGATACTGAGGCATATGGGCAGATCTTTGTGTGCATACTTGCTAGAGAGTTCTGCAAGTATGAGAGGCTCCGTGAAGTAAGGCATACCAGACATCCAAAACTGCCATTATGGTTAGTCCCCTGCCCCTTTGGGAAGTTAGTCATGGATGGCCTGGACAAATAGCAGCAAAATCCGAGAAAAATCAGGGAGTACCATGGATGTATATTGGATTCCCTATTGAGGCTACATATGGCAGAAAAGCTATGATAGTGCAGAGCTTCCCATGATACAAACCACTTGTTCAGTGAGTCTTGGTCCATCTTGTAAGCACCAGTATCACCCTCAACTCTCAGGGACTGGCAACCCCAAACAGGATCCTAGGCCATTATGTTTAGTTCAACTGTTCATGTTGAGCTCAGAAGTTATTCCGCATTTCTGTGAATTATTCTGAGCTCCATTGCCCTGTCCAAGTCATGGAATGTGTCCTGGTGTGTTCTCCTTTATTCTACATGGACGTCATCACTATACCCGTGTGCATACTGTACTTTTTCCGACGTCATTCCCTTCAGTCTACCATTTTCCATAATGTTTGCATCTTCAGGGATTTGAACCCCTGCACTCATCCGATTTTTCACTGCTTCATTGATTTCGACTTTGTGGCTGTTTCTACTGTACAGTTATGGTCGCCTTACGTAACGCACACCGTAGACAGTCCGCCTTGTCGAGCTCTAAGTCCCTAAGACTTTACAGAGCTTGACTTAGGTGTGTATCTTTGTTTCCTGAATATAAAAGACTTTACAGAGCTCGACTTAGGCCTTTGGAATTGCTCTGAGGCGCACTGCAGCCAACAAGTATGAAATTTCAGACTCCCAGACAACACAACTTGCACCAACAGATACAAACAAATGCAGTGGTTAAGCACTCTGTTATGGATATGAGGGCCATGAAATGCCTTAGCTGTTCCCTCAATAAGGAAACTGGTGAACATATCATGTGACTGGCAGCTTGGTGGTAGGGCCAATATAGTCTCAGCTAGTAACAAATCATAGTATACATAGTATGCTCATCTGATAGCCCTTCATTCAGAGAGTATACAGAAATTCTACTGAGTATATACAATCACTGGCTCACCCAGGACATGCAAAATATTAAAAATGCACATGTGCCTCTGCAGACTCAAAGTGCCTGTTTATGACTCAAATATGGTCCATGTGTACACTGTAATGTATATGTGTGATTTAGACATTGTGGACTACTCAGTAGCTTCTGTAATACAGGTAATAAGGACTATAATGGGTAATCTGAGCATCTTTTGCCATAATCTGGCCCTTGTATACAATATAATGGTGACCATTGCAGCTCACAGCAATCCTACACTTGTCTTTGATGTGTCTGTATATTTCATAGATTTTCTGCATTTTTCTGAGCCCTACATGCCCCTGTTTGTGTATGATTCCTCTTTGGGAAGGTCACATACTCCATATGGTAATTATCCACTGGCTTTCTCTTGCACATAGACACAGACTAGGTATACATATATGCATCTGTAATTACACTATCATCTTATGGGGATGTGCACTACATGAGTAGTTCCTAGTGTGAAGTAGAAGGCCTATATAAATCAGCTCACTGAGGTAACAGCAACAATCTTACCAGGTTATTGAGAATGGTATCTGATGTCAAACTCAGGGCATAGACAGCTTCAATCACACTGCCTGGGCCATTTCAAAATTTCCTGATTTTTCCGCTTTTTTGTGGGTCTAAACAAGCCCATATAAGCACAGTAACAGTGCTCACTTACATCGCTTACTAAGTGCCCCGTTAAGCGCCCAGATGCTGTTCGGAGGTGCATCTGTGCGGACAACACCAAGCTGCTCTGATTGGTGCATCTAGCCCTTTTCTATCCTAATCAGGCAGGCTGCCGAGGTTTTGGGCTGAGTTTGAATCTCAGCCACAGGCTCATTAGTGGCACTGTATCTCCTGCACTGTGGCCTCAATAAAATGCGATAAATCCCCCAAATATTCCACAAGATAGGTATGATGTCATAGAGTCTGTAACTGCTGTGACTTGCCTATTACCTTCAGTGGTTATGGCACAATTCACACAATCAAAACACACACAAATGCCTCTGTGCACATGGTTGCATCCCTTTTCACCCTCAAAGTGACTATTTTGAAGCCTGTAGACCACCCATAGATTATGTATGTCATGTCTTTATGACATCTGAAGCCTGCCATAAAGGGTCGCTAACCTTCCCCAAATGGTAATTTCAATGCAGCTGCTCAGTCTGGGCTCAGAAAATGCAGATAAAACCAGGGAAAACTTTGTGCAACTGGACTCAGTTGTAGTACCTGCTGTATGTAAGAAATTGATCCAGTATAGCACCCCCAGAGGCTATGACCAGTATGGCTTGCCCCTACCTCTGTAGACATGATTGGGTAGCATTTGACTGGGATACACTGACTGAGCTCCAACCAACTGTTATAGATATCATAAGCTCACCTCATAGCCCTTCATTCATAGTGTCTATCATAGTTTCTTGAGAGAAGTGGTTGAATGAGTAGCAAAATGCTAATATAAAAAACAGAAGTGACTCTGTGAATATGAATGTGTTCTGTTGCATCTGAAACACATGACAGATGTCCTGTATGGCCAAGTGTATAGTTTCCAACACATTGATGTCTCTGAAACATGCACAGCAGTACTACAAATGGAGAAATATTGTCATAGCAAGTATGTGTTGATGTCCCAGCACTGAATAACTATACAGGACAATCCTCTCTACCTGTGAATATGCTCCACAGATCTCCTGGAATATTATCCCATTTTACTGCATTTTTCTGGGCCCAAAACAACTCAGATTTGCTGCAGTAACAGGGTGCACTTACATCACTTACTTAGCGCCCATTTAAGCGCCCATTGCCGAAGCGGAGTCATTGACTGGCCGGAATTCTGGCCTGTCGACGACTCCGGTCACTCAAAAGGGATTTTGGAGCACTCCCATTGGCTAGAATGATGACAATGATTCCCCTTTAAAGTAATCTTTCAATCTCAGCTCTTCATGCCGAGTTTTTTGATGGCTTTAAGCCACACTAACTGAGCTCTTACTAGAGCCCCATTAAATGCGGAAAAAGCTGAAAATATTGCCTCTCCATGGCATGCTCCTTAGTCACTGGCAGGGGTGTCCAGATTAGGTATTCCTCTTCTGTCTCACAGTGCTAACCTTGGCAAGTGATACTGAGGCATGTGAGTAGATCTTTGTGTGCATACTTACTGGAGAGCTCCACAGGTATGATGGGGTCTATGAAGTAGACACATAAAATTGCCATATACAAATAGTCCCCTGCCCATTTTGGAAGCTGGTCATGAATGGCCTCTGCAGTACTTAATAAATAGCAGGAAAATAAAAATAAAAATGAGATAGCACAATGGATTCATATTGTATTGACTATTGAGGCTGTCATATGGAAGAACACTTGTAGTGAGGCAGACTTTCCCATGTACAGCCTGATATTAGCAACTCTTTCAGAGAGTATCCTGAAATGCATGTCCTTGGTCCATCTTCAAGTTGCAAGCACTGGTATCACCTGGCATTCTCAGGGGCTGGCAACTCCAAACAGGACTCTGGGCTGTTCCAATTGTTGCAGCAGGCCCTTTCCTGCCCTGATCAGGCAGGCTGCCAAGTTTTGGAGCTGACTTTAAATCCCAGCCACAAGCTCATCAACGACACTGCCTTTGCTGTGCTGTGGCCTCCCATAAATGTGAGCAAATTTGGAAATATTTCCAGTAAAATATATGATGTCATAGAGTTTGTACATGTGGCTTTTCATAGATTCAGATTCATAAAATTATGGTACCATTCACAAAGCAGAAAAATGCAATATGCCTCTACACACATTGGTTCTTTTTGGATTGTTTGTATTCCTTGCAACACTTACCAAGTGCATCTGACACCTGCTGTCTGTGGTAGCTGACCTTCTGAAATGGAAAGTCTGATTTCACTTGCTGAGTATGGGCTCATAAAATGCAGATCCAACAAGGAAGTTGGTATGATTCTACTCACTTTATACTGCTAGCTCTATCTTGCAATTGGCTTCTCTTCCAAAATCATTGGGTAGAATGTAATCACTAATCAGTGAATACCTGTTGCCCTTGCACATGACTCTGCATGGCAGGTCTCTTGTTAATTGGCATGACATTGAATTCTGGAATGCAGGCTGTCTGATCCTGGTAAGTGATGCAGCGGCATTGTGCAGGTTATGTTATTATAGGTAAACATGACTAAACAACATCAAAAGGACCTGATGAGGCATATAAGCTGAAAGGGTCATGCTGTGGATCCCCACTGTGCTCTTGTAAGTTGTCCCTTGGCTTCTACCACAACCTCCTCAGTCTAATGCCGCTTTGCGGCATGTTCAGGTGATGAAACCACCTAAATCATCCATTAGCAAACAAGGAGAATGCATGCTGCATTGTCAAGGAAACAATGTTCTGAGCCATAGCAGGTTACTTTGCAGAAGCAGAGCCATCGGTGCACAAGGGTGTCCGTCACAAGTGAGTGCAAAGATGACTTAGGTTAACTTGACAAGATGCTAGTCTGTGTGGACAGATGCACTGTACTTGATCCCAGTGGTATACACAAGAAACACATTGATGATGGTGCCAACAGCAACAACACAACAGATCAACACAACAGAAATTGTCCCAGTGATGAGCAAACACAACGGCATGGAGGGAAGACAAAAATGAGCAGAAAACACAACTCAAGGCTTCCCCTTCCGCTTAACCCTCTGCGGCCTCTTACCCTTTGCCATTGCAGTCTGCTTGCCTGTCAAATGGGACAAAGGGTGTGCACCCTCTACGTATTCTTCATTGGCTTCATCCTACTTCTCGACTGACTCATCTTCATCTTCAATGTCTCATAGCGTGACGAGGAGGGAGGTGGACTACATGAATTCCAGAAGGTGTCCAGGTGACATCTCTTTGCATTGTCATGAATAGAAGGTTCAGCAGGTTTTGCTTGCTTACGCCTCTGAGTGTCCTCCTTCCCCCAGTTAAATGCATTGTTCTCGTCCACATCATGCCACACTTTCCTTTTTTGTCCACCTTCCTAATGTGTTGCATCCTATACTCCCTGCACGAGCACACCATCCTTTCGTTATTCTTACAAACCTCACCTCATGACGTGAAAATTGACTATCTGTTATGTATATAAGACCCTACGTTGTACAGCTCACCTTAGTGTACCTTTGGAGACCAATCCAGTCTTATAACCTGTGTGGACCATTGCATGCTTCTCCCCCTTGTATCGTCACCACCTGCCTCTTCAGGTGTGTGAACGCTACAATCAAAAGGATTGGGTCTCACGGCTGCCTGTGATCGAATTTGCACTTAACTTGGCCCATTCGGAAAGCACAGGCTACACACCATTCTTCCTTAACGGGTACGAGATCTTTGTACAGCTGTGGGCACAGGATCAGCAATGCCCGTATCAGTTCAGCTTGTATGACTCCGTGACGGGCATCACTGAGCTCAGAGGTCTTTGGAACATCTGGCTGCCCCTGAGATACCACTGGCAATGGTGAGCCTCGGCAGTGAGCTGTGCACCTTGAGCTTCAACTATTTCAGGAAGGGGATCTTCCACCTGATGGAGAACATTGAGGGTGGGGCACTCAGACAACTTCTGCCATTCTTCAAAGCCCATGCCATGGAACATGCCAGCAGTGTAAGCCCCTGTGGAAATGGTGACCTTGCAAGCAGTGTGCATCACATCTAGGCAAAAAAGCAGCCAGCTCATCCTGCCCATTGTACTTGGGCAGCAGACACTAATTAACATATGTTAGTGATGAGATACAAACAGGGGCCTTGGGACTCACCACACCGTGCCCCTTCCCAATATACTCTTCTGGGCCCCAATGATTACAGACCCCCTCATGAAGCTTGTTGAGGTCATCATCCCTGTGGAAAAGATACAGCTCAGCAGAGACCTTTCTGAGCAAGATTTCAAGCCCGTGCAAGACACCACTGAAGAGGATGTGACTTTCATCATCTGGTGAGGGGATAAACTTGTAGTCCAGCAGACTCTGGTCCATGTTCTTGAAGTTTGGTACCACCAAAGTGGTGCAGGCACTCTCATTGATGTTGATAATGATCCAAATGACTTTTTGGTACACTTTTCGACTGTCTTCCAATCCCTCAGTGCAATTGTTCTTGACCTGTGACATGTGAACATGAGCTATCAGGCCCCAATGAACAATTTCCCACCTTCTCAAACACATCTTCCATAGTCTCACAAACACACACCTCAAACTCTATGATGTCAACATTTGTATTGTGAACCTCTCCATCAGACATGTACACATTGCATGGTGGATTGATACGGATTGATGTCACAAGATCTGGGATCTTGAATTGCATGTGTCCGTCACTGCAGAGGATGCCTAATGTATGTCCACCATCTAGGACTAACTGCAGGGAGCTCAATTTCATACAAGGCTGTACTTCCTTTGCAACCCGCAGCATCAACACTGTGAATTGCATCCTGGTGAAGGGGGCTTGTCCTGGTCATCACCAGCTCTGAATCATCTGTATTGTACTCAAAGGTTGATTGAGGATAAGTTGAGCTGTCATAAGAATGGTAAACCTTTGAAGATGTACAAGATTGCTTGCAAGACAGGGTGATAGTCACCCAGGTGTTACAGGAGCTCCTCCCACCCTTCAAGCTGAGATTTGGTGACCTGGTACATGCATAACATCATTAGACAACACAAGCAACCTTAAGAAAGGACAGCCTACAGTGCGCTTAGCCTGAATGTAAGGGAAGGTTGTGAAGAGCCTGTCCGGTGCATACGGCACTGTACAGTTGTCTCAACTAGTAGTTGCTGTCTCCGTGGTAGACCTCCGAAGTAATATTGCTCCAGACCTCGCAACTACGTCTGTGGCGCATGTTGATATTGATTCTGCATGTGCCACTGCAAAGTGGTGGATGGGATGGAAGGTGACTCACCTGTTGTGCACGCATGACAACACAAAGCTGTAGGCTGAGCGGAGGAAGCAGGAATAGGGTACCACCCCTCGCAGTGGGCTCCAGTTGTGTAGCTTGAGTGCATCTTGCTCCTGGGCACAATGTTCAAGGGGCAGGACAATCTGTTGCTTCAGGGATGGAAGTGACATGGGTGGAAAGGGGAAGATGTACGATGATGGAGGGGATGAGTGCCAATGACAGACCTCGTAATATGCCTATTGCTTGCTGTCCTTGTCTTCAGTTCTCCAACTTGAAGCCTCCTCTTGTGTGTGCTCCTGGCTGATTCTGCTGTCTCCTCTGAGTCACTTTGTCTGGGCTCTGTATCCTTGTCCTTATTCTCGTCCTTCTGTAAACACTATGCTCATTCCTCAGTCACTGAACTCATTCTGCGGTATCTCGGACCTCATTCCGTATTTGCTGTGCTTGTTCTGCTGGTTGCTAGGCTCATTCCGTGAGTCTGTGGCACTGATTCTTGATAGCCTGAGTCAGTCAACATTGACCAACCCAGGGAGGCACTCCCAGCTCCAGAAAATATGATGAGAACACTGTGAGCTAGGCTTGCAGTTGTCTAGAATATGATCCCTGAGGTACGAAGGAATGGTTCTTATGACTGGAGAGAATGTAATGCTTAGCATGGAGCCCAATGCAGAAGGTTTTTCCCACAGTGCATGTGACTGTTTGAGCGCCAGATAACCAAAGATAAGTAGCACTTACTATGCCATCATTAGCTGTGTTTCAAATTTCAGACTCCCAGACGACGCAACTTGCACCAACATACCCAAACAAATGCTGTGGCTGACAATTACGATCCCTGAGGTACGAAGGAATCGTTCTTATGACTGGAGAGAATGTAACGCTTAGCATGGAGCCCAATGTGGCAGGTTTTTCCCACAGTGCATGTGACTGTTTGAGCGCCAGATAATCAAAGATAAGTAACACTTACTATGCTTACATTAGCTGAGTTTCAAATTTCAGGCTCCCAGACGATGCGACTTGCACCAACACCTGCAAACAAATGCTGTGGCTGACAATTCCGACTCCTGTAACGTCTAGCTTGGAGCCCAATATGGAAAGTGGTGAGCATGGCATGTGACCTCACCAGCGACACTGGGCTCCAATAGAATCAATCACTTTTTGCAACAGTAAGCACCCACAAATGGGTATGGCAATTATATAGTCAACTTGTAGCCCTTGTTTCATAGTCTACAGTAATATTGTTGGGCCCCAGTAGTGGCTAGTTAGGCCAGAAAATGCAAAATACAAAAAAGCACAAGAGACTTTGCAGAATTCAAACTGCTCATTTTCACCCTAGATATGTAGCACATGACCCATACAGTATAGCCATGTGTGTCAGACATCATGAAAATGCCTTATGGTGCCACAACAGAGCTCAGAATGGGCAAGGACTGCTATTTCATGCTTGCACATGGTATTATTGCTTACCTTCCATATATGGTAACATAATGTAAACATCACAGGCCTCAGCAACATGCCATAGTACTCTATGAATATCTTCTGATTTATCTGCTATTTATGGAACACCAGACATTCACTTCAGTGAGAATTACTGGATTTGGAAGGTTACTCACCATTTAAAGCAATGTGGGCTTTTGTGATACTTCTTGTCCAAAAGCCCTCCCACAACTTGCCTGGAATGTGTATTTTCCTGGATAACATTAGTTACAGATCACAGGTATACTACATACCTCTGTTGCACTAAAAAAGGCACAATGGCCACTGTGTCTAGCCAGTCACATGATCCATGACGTGGGGTCGCAGCACTCGCAGCAGTGTTTTACCACTGCAAGTGCTGGAGAACATCCAATTGACTGGGAGATACATTCCTGGAATGTGTTCTGGGAATGCCCCTGTGGAACACCCCTAGGAACACTGGTCACAGAGTGACAGAGGGCAAAGTGTACGTAGCAGCCTATGTCATAAGCAGGTATTTCCTGATCTGGAAGTCACCATGTATACTTAGAATGCTTATTACACTGACTCTGTCACACATTTGTACAACTGTAAGAACTTGTGGTCTTGATTCTGCTGTAGATAAATGCAAGCTAGTGGCTCTACGTTCATGCAGACACAGCCATGTGTGTGCTCCTAATAGGTCTGATATATATTTACAATCACAACACAGTGGTTCTACTATTTTCCGCAGCATCTGCCTTATATAGCACACTGAATCAATGAGTGTAGGAATGTATACTGTTCTAATTGTTTTTAATACAAGCACAGAGCAGACAAACACAATGATTGAGAAAATCACAAATGCCTATAGCTATGGAAAGATGCAAATATGCCAGTTGCCTGAACTGATGCAATCATGCACTCTGAATATTCCATCATTTTTACAGTATTTACTAGGCACACAAAGCACTTCCCAGTGTGAAATTACCAATTGGGAGGGGACCTGCCATATGTAGTAATCCTGATTCAAGTTGTGTGATAGCTCCTGCTTCACTGGCACAGACCCTCCCATAATTTACCTAGCCTTCATAGTTCCTTATGCATGGAACAAAGCATGAACATGTGCAGGATATTCATTCTGAGGCCACATAACCTCCTTGTGTAGGCTCAGAGAAGCCCCAAACACCCCAGAAAATCAGTGAGGTACTATATATGTGGTAATTGTGCTCACCCAAAGCTCTGGCAACACTTTGCACCATAAGTACCATACTCTTGTATGGGACCACAGTTCATTGTGCAAGACTCTTGCAAACTGCCTGATGCTGTGCAAGAAAACATTGATGATATAAATTCTTATTTACAGGTTCTTGCTCTCCATTGAATATCCATAATCATGCCTGTGACACAGGTCATGAATTAGGAAACTTTGACATTAACATAGCTTTGACAATCTGTGGATACCCTCATTTGTTAGCACTGTGAACTCCTCAGTATAAATTATGAGGCAACAACATCAGGTTCCCACCTAATGCATTTAGCCAGAATGTTGTTACCTATATCTGTATTGACGGTAACATGCTATGGAATGATGTCAGGCTATGGGACCAGGAGAGGAATGCAGATGAGCACTCCTGTATACTGCATCTAGAAGGTTGCAGCTATACATGACACATGTGACTTCCTGCTTTTCCACAGCATGAGCTATAGTTCATGAAAAGGCATCATGAGTGTAACAAACTCAGCATAGTTGGCCTAAACAGACTCTGACATTGGGAGGTCTAAGCCAATGTAGTATCACTTTGTAGGGAAGTATATGACCTACTCAGTTCAAATGATACAATTGATTCTGATCATGGTCAATATTGACTCAATTTAACAGTCCCTATACAAATTCCATACAAAGTTTCCCAATAGTAAAGGAGTATTATTGTTCAGTGTTTTGAGACAGTACATAATGTCCCAAACATGGTGAAACAGGGCAGCTCAGCTACAGTTGGGCAAGAACAAGTCTGCAACCACACATATCATTGGGTAATGACTATGCAGAGATATTGGCATAGCTATCTATGATCAATGAAAATCTCTGATCAAGAAACATGCACATTATGGATTCTCTAGGATACTCAATATTCAAGATTCAATGCTCTTGTGTCTTGTGTCACTGCAATGAGGATGGTGAGCAAGTACCTCTGTGACTACTATAATACTGCCTGATGATTTCAACTTGGCCTGTGTGAGGGTATTGTTATTGTCACAGTTTGACAACTGCTTGGTAAAGCTTGGAAGTTAGCCTCACAGACTAGTATATATCAATGCATTTGATAAGTGAGATTAAGCAATGACTTCATGAGCTAGAAGACAGACAACTTGAATACAACTGGGAATGTATTGCCATGCATGGCCCACTCCTATCCTTGGCAGCAACATTTCCCTTGACATGTTATCATAAAATGTCAGCTACTCATGCTGGGTTCTTTGATGGTATATGGAAAGTGGTAAAATAACACTGTAGACCCAGGAGTGAACATGTGTGCCAGTTGAACAGCATTGAATATATCATGGGAGGGTCTAAGAAGCAGGTATTATTACAGATGGTGCATTGTGGTAGTTTTTGGTGGA